ACGTCAATGACTCAATCTGCTCCCATTGTACGCCTTCGATTTTGCCATCGCAGCCATGGCGTACATGCGATTAGATGCCGCGCGAAGCCGTGGCGATCGCTGCGCCGAGAACACCGATGGGCCGCTGATCTACAATGCCGCGCACTTTGCCATTGAAATTCATCGCCGGAGACGACTTCGTCCCTCGCGTCGCCTTGCGCATCGCCGACTGGGTCGGGACGTGTCTCCCGTGGGCATCGATATTTGGATCACACCGGTCTTTGAACAGATTTCGGCACTGTGAAACGTATATCGCTCGTACCAAACGGGAGCGGCGTAACGTGCATTACAGGATCAAGACCTACCGCTGCAAGAACATGTCCGCACTGAAACGTGTATAATTGCAGCGCGGCGTGTGAAGCTCGCGTGAGTTCTCGATCCACGCCTCACGATTTCTACGCCCAGTGCTCAGGTGTCATCTATCAGGACTGAGTAGTCCTGCCGGGTATCGTCGCCGGAGGTTATCGCAGATGATGACGGAAATCCGGGCTGGGAGGACGTCGATACCATGTACGTATGACGTTGAAGGGTGATCCTGCGCCTGCAGCAGCCCAGGCAATCCGCAATGGGTTGTGCATAGTAGAGCTCATGCGTCCGCGCCCGCCCCGCCGACAGGAAGCTTAAGGCGAACCTCCCACTCCGGCGTTTTTGCGGCTCAAATTCAGGAAGCTCTCAATCGACCTTATCCTGCGCTGCAGCCAAGATGCGGCGCGGGAGGACAAGAAGGTGCGCCCACACGTGATGAATCCGTTCCCAGTATCGTCGTGCAGAAGCCTAAGGGCCTGTTCGGTACATCACGAAAACGGGGGCGAAGTTGTAAGACGCCCGATACTTCCCTATCTAGGAAGTGACGTAATCCCTTCCTGATGGCATTATAATGCATTGTAACAGCCCCCAATCGTACGGCTCGGGGCGATTCTTGTATCAGTTCGGCGTGCCCTTGCATGTACATTGACATATCTCGATAATGTGATGCTGTCCCTGTAAGATACTTGTAAGATCCGATAGATATAGGGTGGAGATAGCAACGCTAGGCCGAGCCTTCTGTGTGCTAGAAGAGAATACCGAGGTTTTGAACGAGCTTACCCGACATTGTAACATATCGAGCATGTGTCTGCTATCATTGCGAACCTACCGCGCACCCATTATATAAGTGTAGTCATCGGCGTCTATGACTGGCGCCGTCGCTCGACACGTCGCGACGCGTCGGCTGGCAGCTTACGCGGATGCATCGCGGACGTTGACTACATCCTCCTCCACCCTTACCTTCCACACTCCTCACTACTCTGTCACCTTTTGCGGACCTCTCATTTATCAGAAATGCTACTCTAAGTTCTTGAATCTCTGTCCTTCCAGGAGCTCGAGTCGGAGCTCGAGAACGCGCGTGCGCCGCTGCTTGAAGAGAGCACTTTGGGGTGAGTCTCTTCCACAACTACTCGCGATGCCCTCCCCGCCAATTCCTTTTCTCCTGGCTCGTCGCCTAGGGACGGCGTGGCACGGATGAGCTCATTCCCATACCCTGCGCGACGTCTAAAACATTGCCCTGCTAGCTTGCCACTCCGTGCGTGGTTCTAAACGGCGGACCTAAGCCCCCGAATGGCGAATACGTTGATCTTCGCCGAGCCAAGCTGCAACCTGTACGGCCGGTGCGGGAGTAGCGCGGAGCACGCCGCGACTGGTCGAAAAAGTGCGTTGCGGGCCACAAGTTCGGACGCGGTCGGGGCAGGCTGCCACAGGGAGCTAGAAGGCGAGCCGCCACTTGCCCTCATCTGCATCCTCGCCTGCACCACTGACCGCGACCTCGCCCACGCCGCCACCTTCACTCTCACCCTCATGGCCTCATCCCCACCTTCGCCCTCGCCCTCGCCCTCGCCCTCGCCCTCGCCCTCGTCCTCGTCCTCGTCCTCGTCCGTGCCCGGCCCTCTCGACCTTGCCCGTGCCGCTGGCCTCGCCCTGCACTAACTCCCCCACACCCGCACCCGCACTCTCCACACCGCTGTGCCCCATCGAACCGTCAGCCCATCAACACCCTCAAGGGCCCCTCGTCTCGCCTCCGCATTGCCTGTGTCAGCCCATGTCTCGCCCCGTCCGTGTCGTTCATGTCTCGCCCGTCTCACTCGCGTCACCTCAAACGACGCGCGCGAGCTACCGCCCACAGACGTCGAGCGCACCAGCCCCGAAGCGACAGGCATCGCAGCCAAACGACCCCCCGACCCGCTCATGCTTGTACGACGGACGCTCGCGCTGGACGTGCTCGTGGTGCTGCATACGCTCGAGGGATGCGTTCAGCTCCTGCTCAACCATAGCGTCTACGACGTGCAGAGCGACCACCCTGCCGCTGCTCTCCTCGCTCTCGCTGTCCTCACCCTCATACACCTCCCCCGGAGCTTGAACACGACTGTCGGATCAAGTCAGGAGAAGGAGAGGTTCACTCAGGTGCGCAGTTTTCTCGATATCGCCCGTCCCCGCACCGTCTCCTCTTTCGAGAACCAAACTCGCCAGCGGTGATAAGTGCGTTTCTTCTCCCCCTCCCTCTCGCTATATCCCACGACGGCCATGGGAGGTTGAAAAGTGTGTCTGGGACGAACCCCTAGTCGTGGTCAGACGTCATCGGTGGGGAGATTAGAATCTGAGTTAGTTCTCCGCTTCGTCCTCCTGTGCTCTGCGTCTTGCTTACCGCCTCCTAAGATCTCGGCCACACCACTAACCCCATCCCCACAACGATCATGTCCCAACGGACGTACACGGAACGGTCGTTTCACTGGCACGGTCATATTGCGATGTTGCTGCCGCTGTGTCGCACATCGCCTGCCTGCCGCCTCTGCCCATGGTGCGATTGCCCGTGTCGTGCCCACCTCGCCCACATCTCGCCCATGCGCCGTCCGTCTTGCCCCCTCGTCACCACATCGCCCGCCTGCGTCATCTGCGTCGCCCACCTCGCTGCCTTGCCTCCCTGACCCATCTCACCTTTACCCGCCCCGCCGCCTCTACGTCACCCACCTGGTCTCCCCCTAGCCCGATGGTTCCTCTCCCCGCTCTTTACATTACAAACTATTCTACCACACCATTATTCGACAGATCAAGACTTCAATGTTGGACGATGAGCGGCCCGACCATTTGTTGGCTTTGTCACGGACAAAGTACGTTGTTGCCCTCGTCATCTGTGTGGATTACACTAATATTGCACGCTAGGGAGTGTCTTGGAGAGCAATGGGATGACGACGAGAACGACACCAGCAGCCCTGAGGGTGATTGCCGTCCCTCAATGGCGTCGCACATGGTTGCTCAGGGCAAGGCACGGAAGTGTGCGTCTGCGTAACGCGTGGGGGCCATGTGGGTCGCAGGATCTGTGGCTGCTCGCTGGTCGGGGTTGGTAGATGTACCTTAGCCTCGACTCTAATGCATGCCACTCTCATTGTGCTTCGTTATGAGCGTCCGTAAATATTGGGTTTTCATTCATTATCCCGAAACTCCCCACGCTGGGGACTCTACCTATGCACTGCCAACCCCTCCCAAATCTCCACCAATCTACGCACTCATTGGGCTACTGACCATGTACACAATGTTGCTGTAAGACAGGATGGATTATAAGTTTGCACCATCTCTGATAACGTGCAAGGTGCACAATACTTGGGTACATTGGGAGAGTATTGGCATGTGATTTCAAGCTTCAAGCGTGCATGATAGTGCCACTATCAAGCGCTGTAATATTGCATCCATTCCATTTGTTACAAGTACCTTCCTTCGGATTATATACAGATCTCTACCCGTGGCAATCCCTGCTGAAAACCGCCCCTTTTTCGTGATGTAACCCGAGAGCGGTCGCGTGCGACCGGTATCTGCCCGTGGGAACAGATACCGCTGTTAGTGATGGCGACCGCTTTCCAGCGCTTGCGGGCAGACGGAGTACCGCTGTGTCGGGCGCCTGCCCTTCTGGCAGGAGGACGAGGAGGAGGCTGGTGATACCAGCTCACGAGTCCACCTCTGTTGCTTAGTTACAAATATCCCATTATATAGGCTACAAAGGTGCATCCTACTCGAAAGCACTGAGCCCTACTTGGACCAGATGAAAAACCCACTGCAACTGCAATGCCGACCGGCGACCACAGAAGGCCTGACTCTAGTAGGCCGCATCAGCAACAAGCATTAATGGAACATCAGCCCTCGAGAGGCAAACAAAGAAGTGTGTGTAGCACCTCAGAAAAACACCAAAAAACCCCTGTGGGGAAACCTAATGTAAGTAGTAGTCTTGAACCCATTCTCTACGACCAGGTCACGGTCGAGCTGGAGTTCAAGTGACAAGGAAAGTCTTAGGCAAGACTAGGATCTCATTTTCTGGTGTCCAGATGAAGCAAGTAGGAACCACCTTCACCGGAGGGGCAGGGGTGGCATCAGCAGACATTGCGAGGGGAGGAAGTGGGAAAAAATGAACGTCGAGGCCCGGGGCAAAAACTCGGTCGCAGACACTCGGTGTCGCGCGCGGCCGCGGTCGCAGGTTTCCGAACGCGCGATCTTCGTTGACGCCTAGCGCGGGAAACTGCGCATATACCGCGCGCGGGCCCTCCTGCCTTTTATGGTAGTAAACACCAGTCGCACACGACCGCTCTCGGGTTACCGAACAGGCCCTAATATCCTCCGTGGAACTTGAGTATGTCATTTCGCTTAGTCAACAGCTGACTCACCGGACTCACACCTCGCACTAGGGCCAGCCGCAGTTCGCACACAGGCCAGATTCAGACGTGTCCCTCTCTACAACCTTGTCGTCCATAACCAACAGTGAGTCCTACGTCAGCACGCATTTGTTGCGCTCTGTATCTGATGTTCCTGAAGTCAATACACATTCGCGTACGCTCATGACGTCGTCAGAATCTACGCGCAAAGGGCATGCCTCGGACGGTGCAACACTTCCGAGCGCGAGGCCCCAGGCTCGCGGAGGCACGTTCTCTGGCGTACTCCCAATCATGGGCGCCGTAGTTGTCCTCCTGCTCGCCTTCCTCTTCAACACCGAACCGTTCCAGCAGGCCTTCAACACCGCCCAAACCTCCGCCTCCTCAGATGTCTCTTCGACTGGAACATCCGATGCGTTCCTCGCCGCCGTCAAAACACGCCGGTCGATCTACACTATCACCTCGGAATCGCCCATCCCTGACGACAAGGTCGTGCAGATCGTCGCCGACGCCGTCAAACACGTCCCGTCCTCCTTCAACGCGCAGTCGTCCCGCGTGCGTGCGCTGGTTTTCCTCTCACGACCACGCTGACGTGGTGCCTGCCACGCGCTCAGGCCGTCGTGCTCTTCGGCGACGCCCACCAGAAGCTGTGGCAGATCGTCCTCCATACGCTCAAGCCCAAAGTCTCCCCCGAGCAGTACGAGATGACCGAAGCCAAGGTCACGAGCAGCTTCGCCGCCGGCCACGGCACCGTCCTGTTCTTCGAGGACTCCGCCCCGGTCACCGCGCTCCAGACCGCGTACCCGTCCTACGCCGACAAGTTCCCCGGCTGGGCGCAGCACACTAGTGTGCGTCGCCGTCTCTTCCTGTGCTCACCGGGCCCTCCCACGCGCGGTGTGCACCGCGCCTTCTTGTCCGCTCGCTGACCTTCTGCGCAAACGACAGGGCATGCTCCAGTTCATTGTTTGGACCGCGCTCGAAAACGAGGGCCTCGGCGCGTCGCTGCAACACTACGCACCGCTCATCACCCCTCAGGTCCTCGCCGCCTGGGGTCTGCCCGACACGTGGGAGCTCGTCGCACAGATGCCGTTCGGGACGCCATCCGCACCACCGGGCGAGAAGACATTTTCGCCCGTCGAGGACCGGATCAATGTTTTCGGTGTATCGTAGAGTGTCCACTGCTTGGGATGCGTGGCGGTCACCGGATAGAAGCGCGCGTTCATTCGAGATTGAAAAGTCATGTGGTCAGATTTAGTTTGTAGCGTTCCAGTCGTTGATGTACATTCCTCTCGTTATTACACCTCCACATATCCCTGAGAGTCCCACTGACACTCACGCCTGGAGTTCGACATAGTTGGCTGTCGCATCACCGAGTCAGAGAGCAGCAAACCACGGAGCCAGGAGCCAACGTACCAGGGAACAAGCCGACGCTGCCGTGAGGATCCATGCCGGACCACCAGTCGTCAGAGGTGGCTTCGATCTGCGTGATCCTGTCGCCTTCCTTGAACGAAATCTCGTTGTCCTCGCCCGCGTCGTAGCTACAGAGGTCGTCAGCGTCGGCAAAGGAGGGTCATTCGAGTCGAAAGCACGCACTCGTACAGGGCGACGGCCCACGAGCCGAGGTCTTCTTCCGCAGCGGGCTCAGGTTCAGGCTCCGCGGCGGCTTGGGGCGGAGGCGGCGCGGGAGGTGGAGGCGGCGGAGAGGGCGGCGGAGGGGTGGCAGGTGCTGCGACCTCTTGCGACTCGACAATCTCAACGTAGTTGGCTACATGCGATGTAAGAGACAATCACCACGTGGTGACCGGCAAGGTTGACGTACCGGGGAAGAGACCCTGCTTGCCATCGGGACCGACGCCAGACCACCAGCCTTCGTCGAGCTGCTCGATCTGCTCGATGAGCTCACCCTCGTTGAGGTCCATCTCATTGTCTTCTTGGGCCTGAGGACGAGCTAGGGGTCAGTCTCGGCCGAGGAAGAATGACCTTCGGAATGCGCACCTCGTACGAGTACTGGACAATCGCACAGACACCCTGGCCGACGACAGCCTCAGAGGCGTGCGCAGGCTCAGGTTCCGGCTCTGACACTGGCTCCGCCATGACAGCCGCGGTCATCACCGCGCCAGCAGCGAGACCGACCGCGGCGGCGGCCGCGACAGGAGCGACAGGCGGCGGGGGAGGCGGAGGCGGAGGCGGAGGCTAAGAGACGCAGAGCATAAATAAGTCTTATCAAACGTAAGTGAAGGAGAAGCCTTACCGGGGGCGGAGGCGGCGCGACTTCTGCCTCGGGCTCGGACTCGTGCATGGCCGGCGGTGGAGGTGGAGGTGGAGGCGGAGGCGGAGGCGGAGGCGAAGGCGAAGGCGGAGGGGCAGGTTCCGCAGCGGGAAAGCCGCTGGAAGAGGTCGGCTCGCGGTTGGGAGAGGGGCGGGAGGCGGCTTTCACAAGCATGAGCACCGTACGACGATCCGCCAAAGTGGTACTCACTGGAGCCTCGTACTCTTCCTCCTCCTCTTCAGGCTCAGACGCTCTCGGTGGCAAAGGTGCTCTGATCGGGGCGGCAGAGGCAGCTGGCGGACGGAAGGCAGGGGCGGGTGGAGGCGTAGGCTGGCTGCCCAATGCCGTTTGCGCGCGGGTCTCCTCATCTTGTTGTTGCTTCTTCGCGAGAGCTTGACGCTCCGTCCAGGTCAGCTTCTTCGC